AGTCGCTCTTGTCACTACGCGTAGTGACAAGAGCGACTGTGTTTGAGGTAGGCACGGCCTCACGACTGGAGGTTCCTTCCCTCAAACAGAGGTTTTGCAAAAATCACTTATTTTACTAAGTGCGTCGTATCCCTATACCGACGGAAGCTCCCACACCGTCGGTTGACTTGATTACTTACTTGGTCGTGTGCCAGCTTTCTGCCACAGTAATCGAAGTGCTCGCTACGGGTTTGAGGCGGCCTTATTAAGGCGCGCGCCGGGATCGTGGTTGTGAGAAGGCCTCCCGGCCGGCGCCGCCTAGCGGCGACTCCGGGAGTCTCGCCGTGTCGGACGGGTTGCGCGGTTACGCGGGGACGGAGACGATATGCTCCGTGACAGAGTTTTATTTATTATTTACAAACTATTAAAGATCTTAAAACTAAAAGTCTATAGTTCTCACCTGTAATAGGAGAAACGACATTTAAAGTTAATATTCTTCTCGTGTCCTTTCCTCTTTACAAATTGGTTAAAGATCACACTTTTATTTAATGCACACTTTGGCTTTGATTATTTTCCCTTATCAGCTTCCGGTCATAAACCTGCTATCATCGCGTGTGCTCGAGAGAGCGCTAATTTTGAATTAAAGAAATACAACTTTCTTTACATATATTGATGTTTTCGTAAATAATAAAACAAAGATCAAGAGATAATTTGGAGTCTAAATCCCCTACACATTCTTACATAAGTCTTCCATCAGATGGTTGGGATGGTTGGCTGGGTAAGCTCACGCTCGTTCGGCGCTACTCTGGCGTTGTGGTGGCAATGCGATGAACCTCCTGCCCACGCGTACGAAAAAGCTAGTCGCTATACGTTTAAAGCGATCCGATGAGATTGCTCGCAATATCTGTTTTGATCTCACTCGTAACGCGTCGCGGATGATCAAAGGTGAATGATTGTTACTCGGAATTAACGTAGACAATGAATAAATACTTTATTTTCCTCAACACGCAACGTAGACAATGAATAAATACTTTATTTTCCTCTGCTTGCGCGAGCGCCCGCCAGGCGCTGCTGCGGGAGGCGCGAGAGGTCGAGACGCCACACGTTGATATTTTGAATTTAAACTCGAACGGAAGTGATATGTCACACAGTTGCTATGTTGTTGGTGATACGTTTCGGAAAAGCGCGAGTGACAAATATTGGTATATTTTTTGAGAGAGTGAACCTACTATTCGTTCTTATGCTGTGCTCCTATCATCATAACCGTTTTGAATACATTTAATAGAAAGGTTTGAATGATTAATATTATTTAAAATAAATACATTTCCAATGTTTCGTTTAAACAGGGTAACAGTAAAATAGTAATTGTAAGATACGAAATAATAATATATATTTTATTGTATATTATTACCATTATTAGTATACAAACGCATAATCAACAGCGCTAATATCATACATACATTAGTACGTACTTCGTTTACATAAACTCTTGGCATAATGTTTGTTGTAATTCATTCTTTGCAATCTTTCCAGTATTTGTAACTGGAAAATCGTTCACAAATTTCACGTATTTCAGTGTATAAAAATCTGGCATATTATTTGCAAAGTAAGACAAAAGATCATGTTCTGTTACCTGGGAATTAAGATTAAAATTTAGAAGGGAAGATCAAGAAAAATGAAAAAACGAAAATGTCGATTGTCTCGACATCTTCAAATACTTGCCTGTTTATCGGGTAACTTTTTTACGATCGCAATTGGAAGCTCTCCATCGGTTTCAGACGATATGGGAATCACCGCACTTTTGCACACGGCAGGATGCATGTCGAGAACAGCTTCCATTTCCGAAACAGATAAACAAGTATCTTTGTAATTGATAAAATCCGAAACCCTACCGATTATGAACAATTCCCCATCTTCGTCGTAATAACCAATATCGTTCATGTGTAGCCATCCTGGTAGATTAATAAAGGATTTATACCTTAAATAACACTATACAACACAAAATCTTCTTAGGATATCCATTATGTGATTCTTATAGATCTTCTCATACCGAAAACGTATTCGGAAGCAGGAACGCTCTATCACGTACCGTTTTTGAAAAATGGCAGTGTTTGTACAAATGCATGAGTTTGAATGCATGAAAGGTAAGAGCGCGAGATAGTTTATTTTTAAATCAACATACACAGATAGAGGAGACCACTATGCATGTAAACCACTTTTTGTTCTCGTACTTCTTAATAGCTGTAAATACTTGATTGAAGTTTGAAAAAGAGCTAACGCGAGTATTCAGCAGGAGTTTTGTACGCAGTATTGGTTTCTACAGTATCTGATAAAGAAACAATGTGCGGAAAAATGAAACACCTAATTTTTGCCGAGAATCATGAATTCTTATAAGAACCGTTATTTTTGCGGAACGATACTTATCAAAGAATTTTGTATACAGATTTGTGTTTGGCATGAGAAATTCTATAAAAATCGCGTAGTGGATATCGCAAAAAATGAAAGAAGTTTTTCTTCGTTGAACTATGACTGTGTACTTAGAAGTGTGCGAAAACTCGGAAATCTGTGGTTGAAGAAAGAGATTGGAACAAGCATTTTTCTCACGATTGGGACCGGTTCTTGATTATATTGACATTTCCGAAGATGTTGCGGATTCTTGAAAACATTCAGGAGGTAATAATTATATCTTATTTCAAATTTTCGTGCGAAAAAACTAATTATTACTCTTTTAATATATTATTTCTACCACATTCTCCAACTTTTAGTCGGACTCTACACGAAGAAATTAAATAAGTAATAATGAGAATAAATGAATATATATTGTGAATTTTAGGAATGCGTCAAATATCGAAAATTTTAGACCACGTTTTTGTTAAGTTTCATAACGGTAATCAAATACTCAAATTTTTTAGGTATCTCGAACATTTTCTGGGATCTCAACATAATCGAGAAAGTCGAACATACTCGAGAGTCCTGAACATTCTTGAGAATCTCGACAGTTTCAGAAAACTCGAAATTTTCAAGAACCCGTCTTATCCCGATTTGATTTCTTCCCGACACGTCCCTATAAGTAGGTTATCGACATTTTCACCTCTAAAAATAATATAATATACAATTTCCCATGTCAAAATGAACCTTCGGAGTCGATAGCTTTGCTAGTTGCTTCAAGATTGTTGAAATATCCATTCAGTTGCGCAGGAGACATTATACAGATCTCTCCCTCCTTGTTTGGACCCAACGCACAACCAGTTTCCCTACATGTTATTTTTATTTTCGTTCCTGGACGAACATAACCACAGCTACCTGGTTTGCAGCCTCGTTTTTGTGCGCTGATGATATTCGCTGCGTCAGTCGACCCTAGAAGTCCATAGCCATGTATATATATTGTGTATTACCTGTTGATCTATAAGACTTATGTTCAGTAGTTCATAAAGATTTTCGAACGTTCTTTGATTAAAGTTTACAAGAAGCGTTCGAATATTTTCGTGAGCCATTATACATGCATAGTGTATAAAGAAAACCAACATTAAATACTGGTAGTTTCGCACTGATAACTAGCAATACATTACCGTAAGCCTGGAAAATATTAATCCGCGGCAATTGGTCGATTAACATCCTGTGTATATCACGGCTGATTGGGGAACCCCCAAATAGAATGCACTTTAAGTCCGTTCCTTGAAAATTTTCTATCAAACCGAACTTGTACATTTCTTTCATTTGGCTACTATCAGCGAAATACAATTCGACTCTATACTTTTTAATTATGTTATAATAGTATGTTATCTCTCTTTTGTCCTCGGCAATGATTCGAGTCAAATTGCCGCGAACTGCTATAAAGAAACTTAGGAAGTAGATGATCCACCGCATACTAGCGGCGCACATGCAGGTCGACAGGTTTAACGCATAATCGATGTAAGCTGGATCTATCAACGTTTTCAATGAGAGATGAGATAATTCAGCCATTTTTGGCAAACCAGTCGATCCGGATGTACCGAGTAAAAGAGCTAGAGCCTTCGGATTTACAATTTGTTCGCAACGAAACTTTTCTACTTCTGACGTTGTTGAAGTGGACAGAATTTCGTTAAAAGATTCCTCCTCACCGCTCCACTCATCAAAAACTACCTTTCGCACGTTTATGTTCAATTCCTTTTGCGCGGTAGTGAACGTCTTTATGTCCGAATTATGTAAAAATATTAACTTGGGTCTTGTCGTCGATAGAAAATGACGAAAGGAACCTGGAAAGATATTTCTTTTTGTCATCATAATATTATATCATTCTTTCAATATTGTTTAATATACTATACATCTTGTGCATTAATATTGAAGTTAAAGTCAGGGGGCAAATGAAATTTATTATAATTACGTGCAGGTAAGTTTTGATATTCGATGGCACATGGTGCACCAATGTACAGACATGCCAAAAAGGGGACATAGTCATCAAAGTAACTGGAGCAGCACACAGCTACGGTATCTCCTGGTTTGATCCCTTTTTTCCTAAGCCATGTCGCACACTTTACACTTTTCTCCAGCATTTCTTTGTACGTGGCTCGTCTCCCACATGCAGCTTCTATCTACGTACGATATGCAATGTACGCGAACATTAGGGAAGTCTTTATTTTTCAAGTTCTGAGTTTTTTATCTTGTCTCCGTTCATAAGGATTTCGCGTCAATTTTGTACATGCTTGGTCATTGTCTTCGGTTATTTTATAAGTAGTAGTGAATATTTATAATAAAAGAACAACATCTTGAATGTATATAATTGTTATATTTATATATTAATTCCAACAATATACTTAAAATTTTTTAACTCTATTTAGCGATAGACTTAATAAGGTAAATATCCCAATTCTTAAGATAATAATCGTGTAAAATGAATACAAGAAAAACTGTTTTCAATACTTTTCGACATTGTTATGCATGATTATATTACGTATTATACGCTACAAAACAGTTGTAAAAAATGTTTCAAATACGAGACTTCACGAAATCATCATAAGAAACTTTACGCCCGCTTAAGAAGGCTGTAATTATTCATACGAATGTATTTATATGATATGATAATGAATGAAGTAAGGCCAAAACTGCAAACCCAGTTTAAGTACGAAATTTTGCGCCGGGTGACTACAGTTACGCGTCGTGTGTAGCGGGCGTTTTGTGCCGGGTGACTATAGTCATCCGTAGTAGCGAAAATAACGTATTAATTGCTTAAAAATATCTATAAAATATTTTAGTTTAACATAGCATTGAAATATAATTTACATATTTATTTCGTACGTTATTTAAAATGGCTAAAGATATCACAAGGAAAAATAATTAGAAAACAACGAAAAAATAGAGATTACACCACAGACCACAGGTTACATAAGACAACTATTACAAACTGCTTTATTTCAAATTCGTAGAGGAAACACAATTATATCCATTAACGGTAGGCATCAAATACCTCTTTTAACTTTAAAATCAAAATCAAAATTGGAATTACAGAATTAACATTGTACTTAAAAATGCTTAGAAATAAAGTTAATCAAAACAAAATAGTTGTTGACGTCGGTTGATAATTAGTAGTTTACGTCTTTGCATTAATAAGTCACATACTTCACGATCTCGGAAATACATACATGGCTTAAGTAAAAGTATAAATACGATATTCTTACATGAGTAGAAACACAGACTTAGGTGAGTAGAAATAACGCCTTATAAACGTCGAACTGAATTAAAAGAAATAAAAAGGACTTCGTCGATGCATTAAAGGATCTTTTTGATATCGCTGATAGCAATGCGTTAATTACGAAGATTGAAAAATACACATTGCTTTTTGTGTATCAAACATAAAATGGGAGAAGAATATCAATGATGGAAGCAGATCGAATCGTAACGCAACAGGAATAGCAGAAAGCAATACATCAAGGAAAAGGAAAGTTACGGAAACAACACTTTGCAGTGATGGACTAGAAGAATTGTAAATTACTTTTATATAAAAAATATTTTAGATATAATATCCGTAATTGCGTACTGTGCTGTGTTAGACGCTACATTGCGTTGTACGTTAACTTAAGAAAACATTAAAATTTGAGATCTTTAAAACTTGACAACGTAAATCTATCTCTAAGCCATATAATATTTAGATTTAAATAATTTGTACATGATCTAATTATTCTTCAGAGAAAAGAGTTAAAATTTTGAGTTATAAATATTCATTATAAAAATTCATTTTTCCAGAATTTTAAATCATTATGATTGGTTATACAATACAAATTATAAATGGTAAAATATGAAAAAGTTCTCACATCTACTACTCATACAGTAGTGCATCTCTAATTTTTTTGCAAATAAGATTGTAAATCAGTAATTCGCAAAATAAAATTGTAAATTCGACTGAGAATCAGTTGCTAAATTCATAGTAATGCTTTCAGAAATTTTTTTATTTCAATTTGAAATATGAAACTCCGAAACAATTCGCCTATATATACATCTCCGAATTTTTTCCAATAAGTAAAAACAGACACATTACGTTTTGCTGAGTAGAAATACGTATATTTAAGACACAAAAAAAATCAAAAGATGGAAAGTATGAAACATCCTCGTTAACATTATGTCTATCTTTCTTAGTGATGAATGAAAGTTACTCGCAAGCAAATGTTAAACAAATGTAACAATACCTGTCCAATAAAGTCTGGTTTGCTTTTAAATATTTCAAACACTATTTCTCCAATATTATTGCATTTTTCGGGATACTTCAACTCCTTGCCGATAAGTATATTATTCTTAATTTCAAATATTGGCTCGTTCTAAATAGAATGGGGCACAAAAAGAAATGATTTACAAAAATTCGTTCACTTTTCTGCCGTTTTTCATACCTTATTCTCATCCTCTGTTCTCGTATTAATCATGTTCAATCCTACTGGAGCTTGTGTAAGATCGAGATCGATTATTGTTCTACAATTGTATGTAGACTTAAGCAGCAGTTTGTATATGGAGTTACTATTTGACACTGATCGTTCAACTAATTGGCTGCTGTTATATAGAACTGCTAAAAGCAGTAAAATAAGCTCTTATCGTAGCCCCTCAAGTATATGTCTTCTAATTGTCGTCCTTGTACTACTATGTTATTAGTTCAACGTAACATAGGTAGGCAATGGATGTGCTATCACTATGTACAGTGAAGTCCATAAATATTTGTACACAGTGCAAAATAGAATAAATTTTATTGGTTTTAACGAATTACTTTTTTTTTAGTATTAGAGAAATTGGTTTACTATATGATGTATAACGGAAAATTAGAAAAAATATCTATAGATCGAACATACAAAGAAAAATGTAAAGGGCACAATTTGTAATCTTTTTATTCGACTTTCTAATAAAAATGTAAACATGCTTCTTGCCGATCTGAGAACATTACATGCACGTAGAAAGTTTAATAAAAATCGGTCAAAACATAAGAAAAGTTGGACGTCTCAGAGGATATTGAATTTTCTCAATTTATTTAAGTTGTAGGTCGGAAACCATCAAAACCTGCGATTTTATTAATTCTTAATTGTTTATGGGTCATGGCAATGTAAATGGGTTTTAATGAAATGTACAAATTTGTATATTCATAAATAATAAGTTTTAAATTTTTATTATAGGGTTGAATAAAATGCTTAAAAACTGTGTCCTTTATTATTCATTAATCCGATGTACAGCAATTAAAAAATTTTTTTTTATACATCATGGAGTAAATTAATTTCTTTACTACCTACAAGAAAATTAATTCATTACATCCAACATTGTAAAAGTCGTTCAATTTTGCAATGTGTACGAATATTTATAGACTTCACTGTACATGCACTCAATAATCTACGGTCTATAATCGTAACACAGTAGTCCGATTATTAGTTCAATGAGTATGTCAACTAATGATAAGAAACACAAAATCTGATTATATGTCTTACGCACTAGTACACAATACACTAACTTATACTATCGAGTCTATGTATTAAATCTAGTCACTGAGTCTATTCTCTGAGTCTATTCTCTGAGTCTATTCACCAAGTCTATTCACTGAGTCTATCCCACTTCTGATATGTAAGATTTAACAAAACTCTAACTGTAAAATGAAGAGGGTGGCGAACGGTTTAAATAAAAACTCGTGGGCGTAACAAAAATACTTGATATCGTCAACTGTCGTATTTATTCTCGATGTCTCAACACTAGGACGGCTGTACCAAGAGTGCCTCTTTGGCCAGACCTTTCGGTTGTCCTAGGACCTCCCCCATCGCCAGTATGACTTTCGTTCTACTTTTTATGGGTCTTTGTCTGTTATAGTTGCGGGTTTAATTAAACAGATTATAAACCATTTGATGAAATAAACTTGGATACACTTTTATTAATTAAACAGCGCATGTTTCATGCTGTAGAGATACATACGTGACATGGAACATAACATAGATGGAATAACTATAGAATAGAATGCACAACCATAGAATATATAATATTAAGAACCAAGATTACATACTCTAACACGCCCACTTAATCTAGGTTCTAGACTAATTTTACATTGTTCCTAAACCTAGACCCGTCGCACAAAAATTATGTTTAACTTTAGGTAAACTTTTAGTGAGTATATCAGCTATCATTGAATCAGTGCTTTTACATCTAATAGTTAACAATTTTTCTTCTATTTGTTGACGCACAAAGTGATGACGCACATCAATGTGTTTAGTTCGCCTATGATGACCAGTACTCATTAAAAGTTTCTGTGCGCTCTGGTTATCATTATATAATATGACTTCGCCTAATTCTAAACCCAATTCTTGTATCAGGTTTCTCATGAATGATACTTCTTTGGCAGCTTCACTTATTGCTAAATACTCAGCTTCTGTACTTGACAAAGCAACCGTTTTTTGCTTGCGAGATTCCCAATTAATGATTCCATTGCAATATATCATTGCAAAACCTGTGTAGGACTTTCTATCTGTTAATGAACCAGCCCAGTCGGCATCTGCATACACTTCTAAATTCGACTTTCCTTTTTGATAAGTCAGACAATAATTTGCAGTACCCTTTAAGTATCTGAGAATTCTTTTTGCAGCTATCCAATGACAATTTTTCGGCTTCGAATTATATTGACTTAATACACTAACAGAATGAGCTATATCAGGTCTACTACATACTGCTAGATACATTAATCCTCCTATCAATACTTGATATGATTCATTGTGAAAGTCTTCATTATCTCTCTCATTTAAGTCTTCCTTCACAGCCATAGGAGTAGCAACTGATTTGCAATCAGTCATGTTGAATTTACTTAGTAGTTCCTTGATATACTTTTCTTGACTCAGACTTGTAATTCCTATCTCCCGGTTTCGAGTAATTTTCATACCCAAACAATTGGTTAATTCTCCCAAATCTCGAATCTCGAAATGTTTCTTTAGAATCTGAGCAAGTGTGCGTTTCTCTTTTTCATTATTGCGAAAATAAAAGATATCGTCAACGTACAGGGCTACAACAGCAAATACCCCATTAGTGTTCTTTATAAATACACAAGGTTCACATTTACTTTGTGCATAACCATTAGATAGTAATACATTTCTGATCTTCTGATTCCATGATCTACTTGCTTGTTTAAGAAACCGTATATTGACTTCTTAAGCTTGTAGACTTTGTTTTTACCATCGTTGACAAAACATTCTGGTTGTTCTAAATAAATTTCTTCAGATAAATCTCCATTAAGAAATGCAGTAGTTACATCAAAGTGATACATCTGCAAATCTTTACTCATTGCTAATGCTAATAAAAATCTAATAGTTGAATGACGAACCACTGGTGCAAATATTTCTGTACAATCTATACCATATTTCTGACAAAAACCTCTTGCAACTAACCGAGCTTTAAATCTCTCAAATTCACCATCTGGACTAAATTTTACTTTGAAAACCCATTTGGATTTAATGACATTTTTGTTCTGTGGTCTGTCAACTATTTCCCATGTATCATGGCTTACCAGTGAGTCAAATTCCTTCTTCATGGCCTTCATCCATTCTTCTTTATATTCAGACTGCATGGCTTCATCCACAGTCTGAGGATTATCGAATGACTTAAGTGCAGCAAACGAAGTGTCATAATCAGCCATCCACGTAGGTGGACGACGATCTCTAGCTGGCCTTGTTCGAACCATATTGTTCTCTTCATCGTTATCTATTATATTTTCAGATATTGATAATTCATGTACGACATCATTCGAGTGAACTATGTTAGTGTCAAGGCTCGGTATAGATTCTTGACTATCATGATCTACATGTATTTCCATATGCATATTTGAATTATCTAAATCAGCTTCAATATTCTCTACTTCCTTTTCTAGAGAATTAAAATCTTTAAGAAAAATTACATCTCTTGATTTTATAATTTTTGTTGGTTGTTTTAAATTAACCAGTCTATATCCCTTTGAATGTTCACAGTAACCAATCATGATACATTCTTGAGACTTGCTGTCTAACTTTTGTCTTTTTTCATCCGGGATCATTGCATAAGCCTTACAACCAAAAATTCTTAGGTTGCGCAAGTCCACCTTATAGCCAGTCCATAATTCCTCAGATGTACTTCCTTCAATAGCAGTAGTTGGACATCGATTCTTTAAATAAATGGCAGTCATAACAGCTTCGCCCCAGAACCTTTTATTCAATCCAGAATCCTGTATCATAGATCTAGCTATTTCTATTACAGCTCTATTGCACCGTTCCGCAACTCCGTTTTGTTGTGGACTATATGGTACGGTTTTTTCATGAATTATGCCATTCTTCTTTAGTATCTCAAGCATGGTTTTATTACAAAACTCAGTACCATTATCAGACCTTAGTCTTTTAATCTTGAGATTCGTTTGATTTTCTGCTAATTGTTTAAATTCAATAAATTTACTTGCTACTTGATCCTTGCTTTTTAATAGATAACCAAAAGTTTTTCTTGAGAAATCATCTATAAACATAAGTAGATAACGAGCACCACCCCAGGTTGGTGGAGACGTGGGCCCGCATAAATCTGTACGTATTAACTCTAATCGTTCTTGAGCCCTCCTCGCAACACCTTTAGGAAATGGGTTCCTACTTTGTTTGCCTTCAATGCAGGCGACGCAGTTTGATAGCGTTGATGCATCTTCAAACTCTATACCTTCGGCTAGTTCATTCTTAAGTTTCTTCATACTATCATATCCTAGATGCCCTAATCGGCGATACCATACATCTACTGAAACTGGTTTACTTAACATCGCAGCTTGCTTAGATACAGATATCCGCGGCTTAAAATCTAACTTATAAATTCCTCCTACATTTACTGCCATTACTGAACAGGAACCAGACAAATTAAAATCTTTCCTATCATATATATAACATTTTTCATTATCAAATACGACAATATACCCTTTTTCTGTGATTTTATTCACCGACAAAAGATTCGCAGCACTATCCGGAACATAAATAACATCAAGAAGAGTTCTATATTCAGAATTGTTACAAACAACTTTAACGTTACCTATACCAGCGCTAGGCATACTCTGGTTATTAGCCACGGTAATGTCTTTATGTTCAGTATTACTGAAATCGCTAATCCATTCTTTATGCTTGGTGATATGACAAGTACTACCTGAATCGATATACCAGTCCTCGTCACCAAACGTAGATGTTCCGAGTGTGGCCGAGAAGAGAGTCCTTTCAAATTTCTTAGCGTTGGAGTTGTTGTTCGAGTGGTCTTCCTTCTTATGCTTCTTCAATAAACGACAATGAGGTCTGATGTGCCCCGGCTTCTTGCAATGATGACAAATCAATTGCTTCTGCTGCAACGGTTTCTTCTGCTCCTCGCTTGTAAAGGCACCTCTTAATTGT